CCCGGCCGCCAGGCTGAGATCCTCCGCGGCGTTCCACCCTTCCGGCCCCGAGCTCTGTCCACCGCCTCCACCTTCCGCCCGGCGCCGGCTTTCGGCCCGACAGTCGCCGCGTTCCATCGCCGCGCGGCCCCTGCGGCGCTTGGGCCCGCAATGTCGGGCCCCAACGGGGACCTGGGCATGCCGGTGGAGGCGGACGCGGAAGGCGAGGACGATGGCTTCGGAGAAGCAGGTGACCCAGGGGGCTGGGAGGCGACCTCTGCTTTCCCAGGATGCGCTCCTGGTGGGGGGGGTCGGGGCCGGGATGGGGGCTTGAAAGGGACGAAGAGCCCGCCCCAGCTGGCCCCCAGTGGATCCCAGTTTGCAGGTGCTGTCTCGGATGCGGGGCGAGCTCCTGCGAGCGGGTCCCTGGAAACCACAGCGGTGACAGCTGTGGGTAAGCAGCTCCGTTTTCCATTTGGGGAAGCAGAGGCGGGTTCAGGCACACGCGCCAGTTTGGGCTTTGCTCCAGCCACTTCCTCAGCCCCCTGGGGAGACCGAGACACCTGAGGGGGCGGGGCCGACTTAGCCGGCTCGGCTTAGCAGGAGGGGCTGACCCGGTGGGCCCGGCTCTGCTGAGTCAGCATCCCCAGCCACCTGGCTTTGCGGGGTGGCCTCCTAGCCTTGCCAAATACAACCAGATTATAAAGCAGCCTTTTGCGGGCTTCAGAGTGCAGGCGTGGAGTGTGGAGGGAGAATGATCCGCTCCCTTCTCACCTTCTCCAGCCTCAGCTTCCTCACCTATAAAATTGGAATAATGAGTAGCGTCTCCTGACTGGGATGTATCAGGATTAAATGAAAAATGGTTGGAAAATGTTGGCCAGGCTCGGTGGCTCAGCCTGTAATCTCAGCGCCTTGGGAGGCCGAGGCGAGTGGATTGCCTGAGCCCGCGGGTTCGAGACTAGCCCGAGCAACTTGGCGGGACCTCGTTTCTACAAAAAATCAAAAATTAGCTGGGCATGGTAGCGCGCGCCTGTAGTTCCGGTTACTTGGAAGGCTGAGATGGATCACCTGAGCCCAGCACGTGGAGTGGCCGGGAGTGTGCCACTGCACTTCAGCCTGGGTGACAGAGACTCCAATTCAAAAAAAAAAAAATGTTGAGGTGACTGCGCGCAAGTGTTCAGTAAGTGGTTATGGTCATTTTTCTCTGTGGTGTACCATAGAGCGGGGTATTAACTTAGAGGGCGAGAATGGAGCAAGCTTTTTGTTTTGTAACAGCTTTATTGAGCTATAATTCACATCCAATACAACTTACCCACTTAAACGTGTACAATCCAGTGGGTTTTTGTAGATTCACAGAGCTGTGCATCCAGCGGCACAGCAGTTCTAGAACATTTTTGTCCCCCAGGGTCTGCTTTGAATAAAGAGGTGGAGACCTCCCACTGGGGTAAGTGGTGGGCAGCTAAGTTTGCTTTGGGCATTGCTGGTGAACGGTGGCCAGATGTGTGTAGTCACTGTGGTACCCGTGGTGGGAACATCAGGAAGGGCCTCCCAGGTGGTCACTTTGAGTAGATGTTGGCAGATAGGACTTAGAATGGGGGAAGGAGGGTGTCCCGGACAGAAGCAAAGGCTTGGACCTGAGAGTACCCTTGACACAGATAACACCTGACTGGAAGTGGAGACACCTGCCTCCCCCTTCTCTTCTCCCAACTTGTGTCCCATGACACAGAATGCGAAACGTTGATAATAACAACCATGTATTAAGTACTTGCTCGGCCAGACCCCATCTGAGCTCTTGATATACCTGGATCCTTACAGCAACCCAGTTCTTACCCCCTTTTCCAGAAAGGTGCCATAACTTGTTGGGATAGAACTCAAACCCAAGTGCCCCTGAGCCCCAACTCTGAGTCCTTCTGTCTTTGTCACCAACCGGCTGGAGGACCCTGGGGAGGTTCCTTCCTTCTTAGGCCTCGGTTTCCCCAGCTAAGTGCAACCACCAGGAGGTTGAACTTTAAGATTCAGATTTCTGGGATTCTGTCCTCTGTGAGGGGGCTGTCTTGGGTGACAGGTGCCCTTCCCTGGGGACACAGGCACATTTGCACCCATATGCCACATACTCCTCAGACCTTGGGCTCCTCTAGCCTCCACTGGCTGCATCCCCGTTGGTCCCAAGCTGGCAGCTGAGTGTGTCTGAGTCATGGGCTGGCTCAGAACTGGGTCCCGCAGTGGGCACAGGCCCAGCCCTTGGATCCTAAGGGACACTGTGTTGCTGAGAGGCAGGTCAGGAGTGGTCATGGGGGAGGAAGGGATGGTTTCCGGTGGAGCCCAAGGAAGGCTCCTTGGAGGAGTCGTTTTGTGCTCTGGTCCTTGAAGGGTTGTTGGGGTGGAAGCATTCTGGGTGGTAGGGATGGGTTGACAACGGCAGGGAGTGGAGCCAAGGCAGAGCCTTCATTCATTCACTCACTCACTCATTCCACAGATGCTCATTGTGTGACAGTGAGGGCACTGGAGAGACAGCAGCAAACACAAGACCATTCACCTCTTGTGGGGCTTCACAGTCAAGTGGGAGACACAGGCTGGCCCAGCAGTAGATCCTAAGCATGAGGGCCATGGAGTCGGGGGGGGAACTGGGGTCAGGATAGAGGCCCCATCCTGTCTGGGGCACTGAGAGGACTCCCCGTGGTGACATCCACACTGAGACTTGGAGGATGAGTGAGACTCATCCAGGAAGAGAGGAGGGAAGGAAGACAGGAGGACCCAGCATATTCCAGGCAGAGGCGGCAGCATGTTCAAAGGGCCTGAGGTAGGCAAAGGAAGGTATGAGAGGGGAGAAAGGCAGCGGCAGGGGAGATGGGGCTGGAGAGGCGAGTCTGCTGGGTGCTTCATCCTGAGCGCAGAGAGAGCCATGCAGAGACCTTGACTGCCGACACAGGAACAGGGGCTCTGGCTTTTGGGCGGCTACTAAAGGGAGTACACAGACTTGGCACCTGGCAGGACTTCCCAGGCAGGATACTGGCTGACCATCCTGTGACAACCCTAACCTAGAGAAAAGGATAGTGGGCCAAGCACAGTAGCTCATGCCTGTAATCACAGCACTTTGGGAGGTGGAGGCAAGAGGTTTGCTTGACCCCAGGGTTTCGAGACCAGCCTGGGCAACTTGGCGAAACCTCGTCTCTACAATAAATCAAAAACTTAGCCGGACATGGTGGTGTGTGCCTGGAGTCCCAGCTACTGAGGAGACTGAAGCAAGAGGATTGCTTGAGCCCAGGAGGTTAAGGCTGTGATGGTTGTGAGCATGCCACTGCACTTCAGCCCGGGCGACAGAGTGAGACCCCAACTCAAAAAAAAAAAAAAAGAAAAGGATGGCATACTAAGGTATTATGACTGCCAAGCTGTTTCTCTTTTGATATTTACCCACTTTCCAGGTGGCGACACTGAGGCTCAGGAGGGGTAGGGACTTGCCCAGAGCCCCTTTGGAGGCAGGCTAGCAGACAGTCACGGGGGTGGGGTGTCTGTAAGCCCTGAGGAGACCCGGGACTTGGGCTCTGTCTTTCCCCTGCCTCCAGAATACGCTGCCATCAACTCCATGCTGGACCAGATCAACTCGTGCCTGGACCACCTGGAGGAAAAGAACGACCACCTCCACGCCCGCCTCCAGGAGCTGCTGGAGTCCAACCGGCAGACACGCCTCGAGTTCCAACAGCAGCTTGGGGAGGCCCCCAGCGATGCCAGCCCCTAGGCTCCAGGGCCCCCGGTCAGGCCTCAGCCTTCCTGTGCTGGGCTCTGGCCTGGGCACTCCCACTCTGGCTTAGATACCTCCTCAAAGGCTGGCTTTCAGAGTCCCCTGGTGGGTCTGTCCACCTGGCCACCCTTCTGGCAGTCCCCTTGGCCTGCCTGGGCCAGCCCCCACTAACTGCATCCCTTCTGGGGGATGGGGGTCGGCCTGCGACTACCCTCTTGTTGCCTGCCCTACTCTTAGGCCCTGCCCAGGCCTGAGTGACCACATTAAACGGGTCTCCCACACCACTGTGCCTCTCTCCTCTATCCCAGGGTGAGGGCCCCGGTGGGGCTGCTTGAGAGGAACACAGCCATCCGGGTGTTCAGGCACTGATCACGCAGTGGCGACTCAGGGACCAGGTGGTGGGGCTGGGCGGGGTTCTTGGCTGCCTTGTATTTCTGCACACAGAGGGTACAGGTGAGATCTGGGGTTTCTCTCCACGTGGTATATTCCTGCCCAGCAGCCCAGCTGAGGCTGTCGAACATGCTGTGTGGCCCTATGGGATGCTCTCAGCCTATCTGGGTACTAAGGCCTTTCACCAAGACAGCCAACACCAAGACATGCTGTACAACCTTGGCATTGCCACTCATTTTTGCCCTATCCCCCTAGCTAGCCAATAACAGGGTTGGTCTGGTTGTTTACATCTGAAGGGCTTTTTTTTTTTTTTTTGATTCAGGGTCTCTGTCCCCCAGGCTGGAGTGCAGTGGCACAGTCATAGTTCACCACAGCCTCGAACTCCTGGGCTCAGGTGATCCTTCCGCCTCAGCCTCCTGAGTAGCTGGGACTACAGGTGGCTGCCACCATGCTTGGCTAATTTTTTTTTTGTAGAGGTGGGATTTCACTATGTTGCCCAGGCTGGTCTGGAACTCCCAGCCTCAAGCAATCCTCACGTTTCAGGCTACCAAAGTGCTGGGATTATAGGCATGAGCCATCTATAAGGCCTCTAAGGGTCTTACGAATGTGGAAATAGCAGAAGAGCCAACTCAGCCTGGGCCCCACTTGCTGATGATTCATCTTAGGGTCACCTGGCCAAGAGGACGGCACCCCTGTGAGTCAACTAGGAACTGAGAACCAGCAGGCTTGAGCAGCAAGGATCTCCACTCCTGCTCCTCCATAGGGTGCAGCTAGAGAGACTGGCCACACTGGGGTCCCACAGCTCAAGCCCAGGGTCAAATCCTGGCCACTTGCCAGCTGTGTGGCCTTTAGTAGTCACTTGGCCTTGCTAGGCTTCAGTTTCTTCATCTGTAATGTGGGGATAATAAGACTGCCTCCTAAGGTCATTGTGAAGGTTAAATAAGATTGTACTTGAAGGTACTTTCCTAGCCCTGATACATTATTAAGAGGAAAACTGGGCTAGGCATGGTGGCTCACGCCCATAATCCCAGCACTTTGGGAGGCCAAAGTGAGAGAACTGCCTGAGCCCATGGGTTCAAGACCAGCCTGGGCAACTTGTCGCGACCTCATCTCTACAAATAAATTAAAAAATTAACCAGGCATGGTGGTATATGCCTGTAGTCCCAGCATTTTGGGAGGCCGAGGCAAGAGGATTACCTGAGCTCAGGGGTTTGAGACCAGCCTGAGCAACATGGTGAGACCTCATCTCTACAATAAATAAAAAAATCAGCCAGGTGTGGTGGTACATGCCTGTGGTTCCAGCTACTTGGAAGGTTGAGGCAGAAGGATGGCCTGAGCCTAGCAGGTTGAGGCTGTGGTAGCCGTGAGCGTGCCTCTGCATTCCAGCCTGGGTGACAGAGTGAGACACCAATACACACACACACACACAAAAAGAAAATTGGCCAGGCATGGTAGTTCATGCCTACAATTCCAGCTCTTGGGGAGGCCAAGGTGGGAGGACTGCTTGAGCCCAGGAGTTCAAGGCCAACCTGGGCAACATAGTGAGACCTTGTCTCCACAAAAAAATTTAAAAATTAGCCTGGCGTGGTGGCATGAACCTGTAGTCCCAGCTACTCGGAATCTGACAGGAAGATAGCCTAAGCCCAGGAGGTCGTGGCTGCAGTATGCCATGGTCATGCCACTGCCCTCCAACCTGGGAGACAGAGCGAGAACCCCCAAAAAAGGAAACTGAGGCTCAGAGAGGTGAAGTGCCTTGTGCTCCAGAGCGCCTGGTTGTCAGGGAGCCTGTCTTCAGTCTTCTGGTTCTGCCCTACATGTGCCCAGAGGGGCTGGGCGCCAGCTATCCTTCCCCTATCCACCCAGACAGAAGTGCTGGTGGGGGACGGCACAGCCAAACTACCTTCATTTATTGGATTCTGAGTGAAGCCACAAACCACACCAAAGTTTTCACGCAGACTCCTCAAAGCATCAACAGACCTGGCCCCAGGCAGGCTGAGCACAGGGAGGGCCCGCTACTAGGTTTTGAGGCGGGTGGAGCGCCGCGGATGGGGCTGGGAGGGTTGAGTCGTCACCTTGCTGGGGGTTTTGGCCGAGTCATGGGTGCTGGGCTGGGAAGGCGAGCGGCCACCAGAGGCGAACAGGGCAGTCAAGGCGTTGCGGGCGTTGATGGCGCACCGGCGGCTCACAGGCCGTGTGGTGGGGCTGGGTTTCTTGGCCGCCTTGTATTTCTGGACAAAGAGTGCAGGTGAGGTCAGGGCCTGTTCCCTCCAAGTGCCCCCTTGGCCAGCAGCTGCTTCCCCAGCTCCAGCCAAGACAGTGTCAGTGTGCCGTATGACCCTGTGCGATGCACTCAGCCTCTCTGGCCCAGGGCTCTGGAGCTGACAGCTGGGCCTTCAGCACCCCCAGAAGAGTGACAGAAAGAGCCCAGTCCCACCCTGGCTGATTTCTTCCCTGTTGCTGGAGCAGGCTGTTCCTGGGGGCCGAGGCCAAGCACAAGAGGGAGTCTGAGTCCCTGGGCAGGGGAAGGTGGGGTGGATGCCTGGCTCACCTGCAGGTTCTCAAAGTGGGCCAAGGACTTGCAGTGGGACAGCTGTGCCCCCGAGTTGCTGTGGTAGAACTTGTGGCAGATGCGACAGATGTAGCCCATCACCGGCACCAGGAAGTCCACGCCTGTGGGGTGGCAGGGCATGTGTTCACAGCCCGTCCAGCCAGGAACGCCATCTCCAGGCCATGTGCTCCCCTTCCCTCTCCCCTCTGGAGCCAAGGGCTGTGGCTTCTGTGGGGAGCTTGAGGCGGGGCCTTACCGTACGCAGTGTTGGGGCTGTAGGTCTCCGAGCCCTTCCACTCCTCTATGGAAATGTCTCTGGACCGCACCTAGAAACATGCAAGTGTGGGAGCAGATCGACTCCGGCCGGGGTCTGCAGGCCACCTGCACTCCTGAACACGCCATCCCGCTGACTTCCAGGAGGCTGTCAGTAGCGTTCTCTGAGCCTTTGCACATGCTGGTCCTGCTTCCTAGAGTGCCCTTCCCAATCTGCACTTTCTAGCTCTGCTCAATCAGCCCCCTCCTCCAGAGCAGCCGCAATCCATGTACCCAAAAGATCACATGTCATCATACTGAGTCCTCATGACAACCCTCTGTGGTTTTACATATGAGGAAATGGAAGCCCCAGGACATTAACTCACTTATCCAGGGTTGCATAGCTGGTTTGAGGAAGAGCCAGGAAGTGAACCCTAGTAAATTCAAGCCAGAGTTTCTACTCTTAACCGTGAGCCCCCTGCCAGCTCCCTGGGTTCCTACCCAGTACTGCAGTGAACTTGAACCTGGGAGTGAGTTTCAGGTGATCAAGGACCCCACGTCTCACTTACCAGACAAGAGACCCTTCCGGATGGGGCCATCAGACTCTAGCCATGTTGGCCCTCCCATGCCTAGCAGTGCCCGCCACCATTTACCAGGCCAAAAAAAAAAAGTGGCTTCTAAGAATGACAACTGGTGGGGTGCCGTGGCTCATACCCATAACCCAGCCCTTTGGGAGGCTGAGGTGGTAGGATTGCTTAAGTCCAGGAGTTCGAGATCAGCCTGGGCAACACAGCAAGACCTTGTCTCTACAAAAATAAAAATTAAATAAATTAGCTGGGTGTGGTGGCACATGCCTGTAGTCCCAGCTACTTGAGAGACTGAGTTGGGAGGATCACCTGAGCCCAGGAGGTTGAAGCTGTAGTAAGCTATGATCGTGCCACTGCACTCTGGCCTGGGCAACAGAGTGAGATCCCAACTTAAAATAATAACAATAATAATAATAAAACATAAACAACTGGGGCCTGCATTAGTGCCCTCAAATGCCAGCAGTGCCTGGCCCTGGGCCCTGGTGGGGTGAGGTCCCTCCTGGGCTGTGAGTTCAGCCTCCAGCCTGCCTCTCACACCCCTCCCCTCAGCACCTGCTTGCACAATTCCTCCTCAACCTCGATCTCTTCTTCTTCATCGTCCTCGTCATCCTCCTCTTCCTCATCGCCCTCAAAGCAACCCACAGCGTCTACCGTGATGAAGTGGTCCTCATCTTGGCCAGCGAGCTCCTTCTCCAGCGTCTTCAGCTGCCCAGGGAGTGGGCAAGGGACTCAGATCAGCTCTGGGTCGCCACAGGCCATGCCCTGCCCACCCAACCTGAGGGTCCCAACCCCTCTGGACCCACTATGAACTTGGGCTGGGATCAATCTCAACTTGCTGTGTGCCTTGGCCAAGGCTCTGTACCTCTCTGGGCCTGTGTCCTCTGAGGGAGCTGGGATTACCTCTTTGGCTTTGTCCTTGTGCCCCTGGGACTTCACGTGCTCCACAAACTTGCGAGGGGTCTTGAAGTAGCGGTTGCAGACAGTGCAGAATGGTCGTAGGGATTGTTTTGCGATCTGGGGAAAGGGTGACAGGCAGCATCCCCAGGAGTGAGCCCCCTGACTGGCAGCTGGGCAGTGCCCACTGAGAGCTCACCTCCCAATGGCAGGCCCGCCACATGTAATAACAGGCCGGGCTGTGCTCCACCACTGCACCAGAACATGGGAAAACTCATCTCTTCCCTGTGTGCATGGCTATGAGATGGAATGGCAGATGGCAACAGTGAGACAGGACAGACACAGAGGGAAGACAGGAGAAGCCTGGGCACAGCAGCTCATGCCTGTAATCCCAGCACTTTGGGAGGCTGAGGTGGGAGGATTACCTGAGCCCAGGAGTTCTAGACCAGCCTGGGCAACATAGCAAGACCTCATCTCTACAAAAAAATTAAAAAATTAAGGATTGAAAGTTGAGAGAAACTGCAGGGGTGGGGAAGGGAAGCGGGGAGGTGGGACTGACAGTCGATAACTGCCTGGGGAAGGGGGGGGCACACCTCATCAATAAGGGTAGCTGTACAGTGAATATTTGTATACCTAACCCTGAATTGTACCCCACAATTTTAAAATAAAAATTAAAAGAGGAAACAAACAAACAAACAAATCAAAAAATTAGCCGGGCATGATGGAATGCACCTGTAGTCCCAGCTACTCAGGAAGCTGAGGCAGGAGGATTGCCTGAGCCAGCAGTTCTAGACCAGCCTGGACCATGTAGCAGGACCTTGTCTCTACGAAAGTAAAAAAATTAGCTGGGCATGGTGGCTCATGCCTATTATCCCAGCACTTAGAGAGGATAAGATGGGAGGATTGCTGGAGCCCAGGAGTTTGAGACCAGCCTGGGCAGCATAGCGAGATCTTATCTCTGCAAAAAAATTTAAAAATTAGCCAGGTGTAGTGGTAGATGCCTGTAGCCCTAGATAGTCAGGAGGCTGAGGCAGGAGGATCATCTGGGCCAGAAGGTCAAGGCTGCAGTGAGCCATGGCACTCCAGCCTAGGTGACAGAGTGAGATCCCGACTTCCCCCACCCAAAAAAAAAAAAAAAAGCCGGGCTCAGTGGCTCAGCCTGTAATCCCACACCTTTGGGAGACTGAGGTGAGTGGATTGCCTGAGCCCGCGGGTTCGAGACCCGCCTGGGCAGCGAGACCTCATCTCTACAATAAAAATTAAAAAAATCAGCCGGGCGTGGTAGCGCATGCCTATAATTCCGGCTACTCGGATGGCTGAGGCGGAAGGATCGCTGGAGCCCAGCAGGCGAGGCTGCGGTGGCCAGGAGCGGCCACTGCACTCCAGTCTGGGCGACTGAGTTGAGACTCAACTCAAAAAAAAAAAAAAAAAAAAAAAGACAGGAGAGGGGACAGTGGCCCAAAGGATCCGCACTGTGAGTTACGGTTGCACAGAGACAAAGACTCACATTGACTCCCTGCTGCCCCCATGGACTCCCTCCTTCCCAGCCCTCGGCTTGGCAGCAGTGTGGGCAGGTGCCTCTGCAGCATGAAGTCCCTCATACCTTGTGGTCCTGTGTCCTGCGGTGTTGGATCAGGTCCCCCATGTAGTACACCTGGCAGGTATTGCACCAGCGCCTGGGCGGAGGCTCCCTGGATGACGACAATCAAAACAAGCACAAGGTGGCGCTATGCTCTGCTTGGCTCGACAGTAGCCCTTCCAGATTGCTCCGTAAATGTGATGCAATTCCAACAGGATCTTTTTTGGAAACTTAACAAAGTGGTTCTGAGGTTCCTCTGGATGAATACTTAAGCAAGAATCACCAAGGTAACTTTGGGGAAAGGGGAGGTGTGATGACATTTAGAAGCATTTGGGATACCAGCCATTAAAATGAAAACCATGCCAGTGCAGTGGCTCAAGCCTATAATCCCAACACTTTGGGAGGTGGAGGCGAGAGGATTTCCTGAGCCCAGGGGTTCGAGACCAGCCTGGGCAACTTGGTGAGCCCTTATCTCCACAATAAATAAAAAAATTAGCTGGGTGTGGTAGCACGCACCTGTAGTTCCAGCTACTTGGAAGGCTGAGGCAGAAGGATCACCTGAGCACAGCAGGCCAAGGCTGCAGTGGCCATGAGCGTGCCACTGCACTCCAGCCTGGGGCCAGGAGTTTGAGACTAGCATGGGCAACAAAGTGAGAACTCATCTCTACAAAAATAGAAAAATTAGCTGGGTGTGGTCATGCACACCCAGCTGCAGTCCCAGCTACTCGGGTGAGGCAAGAGATCATTTGAGCCCAGGAGCTTAACCTATGGTGAGCTATGATTGTGTTCCTGCACTCCAGCCTGAGCAACAGAGACCATGACTCAGAAAAAGAAAAAAATCAAAATTGTAAAAGGAGTGGGCAACTATTACATAATCCTGGGTTGGGGAGTAATTTTCTACATATAACATGAAAACCAGACATCACGAAGGAAAAAAAATGGATAGAGCTGATTGCATAAAAATTTTAAAGTTCTACACATTGAAAAATGTCACAAAAAAATTAAAAAGTAAACAAACATCTGAGACAAGGGCTATGTTATCACAGGCCAGAGTGTATCCTTTAAAAACAAAAAAATATGTGTAAAATGTGTTATGAGTCAGTGAAAATAAGGTCTTTCTATAAAATATGCAAATACACAATTTTTCTTTGTCTTTCTGAGTCAGGGTCTCACTCTCGACTAGGCTGAAGTGCGGTGGCAGGAGCACGCTTACTGCAGCCCTGACTTCCTGGCCTCAAGTGATCCTTCTGTCTCAGCTTCACCAGTAGCTGGGACTACAGGTGTGCACCACCATCCCCAGCTAATTTTCTGACTTTTCATAGAGACAAGTTCTTGCTATGTTGCCCAGGCTGGCCATGTACTCCTGGGTTCAAGAAATCCTCTCGCCTCAGTCTCTCAAAGTGCTGAGACTACAGGCATGAGCCGCCATGCCTGGCCTGCAAATACACAATTTTTCATACATATTAAGGAGCATACAACCCACGTGACCATTGACATAGCCCCGGTACAAACCCTGCTGTGGAGGGCATGAAAAGTGCTCGCCTACATCATGTGTCATGATTCTAATTTTTATTTTTATTTATTTATTTATTTGAGTTGGAATCTCACTCTGTCGCCCAGACTGGAGTGCAGTGGCACACTCCCGGGCACCGCAGCCTCGACCCGCTGGGCTCCAGCGATCCTTCCGCCTCAGCCTTCCTAGTAGCTGGAACTACAGGCATGCGCAACCACGCCCAGCTAATTTTTTTATTTATTGTAGAGATGAGGTCTGCTAAGTTGCCCAGGCAGGTCTCGAACCTGTGGGCTCAGGCAAATCCAGTCACCTCAGCCTCCCAAAGCACAGGATTACAGGCTGAGCCACCAAGCCCAGCTTCTAATTTTTATTTTTAAGGACTATATAAACCCAGAAAGGATCAAGGGAAGAACTAGGCCAAAATGTAAACAGCATTTATCTCTGGGCAACAGGATTATGGGAGATTTTTATCTTCTTGTGTGTCTGTGTTCTTGTATTTTTAAAATGTTATGTTTACTTATATTTGAGACAGGGTCTCACTCTGTCACTCTAGCTGGAGTGCAGTGGAACAATCAGAGCCCATCACGGCTTCAACCTCCTGGGCTCAGGTGACCCTTTCACCTCAGCCTCCTGAGTAGCTGGAACTACAGATGTGCATACTATGCCCAGCTATTTTTTAAAAAATTATTTTGTAGAGACAAGGTCCAGCTATGATGCCCAGGCTGGTCTCAAACTCCTGGGCTCATAATCCTCCCACTTCCACCCTCCCAAAGTTCTGGGATTACAGGCATGAGCCACCACGCTCGGCCTAATTTTTATTTTTAAAGACAGTATAAACCCAGAAAGGATCAAGGGAAGAAGTAGGCCAAAATGTAAACAGAGTTTATCTCTGGGCAATGGGATTATGGGTGATTTTTATCTTCTTGTGTGTCTGTGTTCTTATATTTTTAAAATGTTATATAATGAATGAATTGATTTTATTTAAAAAAATGTTTCTAGTCAAAAAGGTAAAACAGTGAGAGTACCAAGTTTTAGGGTTTAGGGACACTTACTGTCCTCAGTAAAATCTTCTTGATACTCCTGCAAACAGCAAAATCAGACCTCAAATCAGCTTACTCCAGAGGGTGGCATTACTGGAGAATTTTAAAGACGTTTTTGTCAAGTTTGATTTTTTTACATGCACTCTGGCACCTTTGTAATACAAAAACACAACAAATGAAGAAAGAGATTGGGGAAGGGACCTGGTCATTAAGGAAGTGGACAGACTGTGCCAGTGTCATGCCCGAGGCTGCTCAGAAATGGCCAAGGCACCGGGTGTGGTGACTCACTTCTGTAATCCCAGTATTTTGTGAAGCCAAGGTGGGAGAACCACTTGAAGCCAGGAGTTTGAGAACAGCTGGGCAACATAGTGAGAACTTATTGCTACAAAAAATAAAAATAAGTTGGGTGTGGTGGTACACTCCTACAGTCCTAGCTACTTGGGAGGCTGAGGCATTAGGACCGCTTGAGCCAGGAGTTGGAGGCTGCAGTTAGCTATGGTTGCACTACTGCACTCCAGCCTGGAGATTTGGGAGAAGAGAGAGAGAAAGAAAAACAAATGGCCAAGGCAGGCCAGGATTTGGTCCACACCAGCCAGGGTGCTGGGTTCAGTTCCGGAAACACCCCTTGCCTTTCATGAGGAAACCCATCCCATGTGGTTGAGTAGAGCTGGCCATCCCCACTAGGCCTGGCCGGTCAGAATGCTCCAGCCCTGACCATGGGACTGGTTCCCTACCAGATCATCCAGCATTTTCCACAGGAACCGTTTTGCTACAGCAGACACAGATGCCTGCCTTTCCTTTGGGGTCACTGTGCAGGGAGGCTGGGGCTGGAGGTGGCCCGGTACCCATGCTAGTGAGATGGAGACGACTTGAGAAATGGGGTCCCCTGGGTTTAGCTGTGTTCTTCACTTTCCTGGTGACATAAGCAGAAACTTTTCTCCTTTTTGCTCAAGCTCTGTCACTTAGAACTGCAAAGGACCCAATCTGAGACAGGAAGACAGTATCGATGTCTGTATGTTGGGAACCAAGGTGAGGTAATCGTAGGTTAGGATGGGAGGTTTATTTTGTTTTACAAATGGTTGTTAACACTGTAACACAGCTGGAAACTGACAGGCATGTGACTCTGATTACTAGAGGCATGTCCAGGGGTCCCCGGGATGGTGATACAAGTGAGGATATATGGCCTCGAACACTATTTACCCTTCTTTTTTTGTTTTTGTTTTTTGAGTTGGGGTCCCACTCTATCACCCAGCCTGGAGTACAGTGGCACAATCATGGCTCACCGTAGCCTTGACCTCCTGGACTCAGGTGATCCTTCCACTTCAGCCTCCCATGTAGCTGTGATTACAAGTGTGCACCACGACACACAGCTAAGTTTTTTTTTATTGTTTTGTAGAGATGAGGTCTCGCTATGTTGCCCAGGCTGTTCTCGAACTCCTGGGTTCAGGCGATCCTTCCATCTCAGCCTCCCAAAGTGCTGGGATTACAGGCGTGAGCCTCTGCGCCTGGTTTTATCCTTCCCTTCGAGTGCCCTGTCTTTCACTGGACTTTTCTTGATCCTTTACCCATTCCTGGACCTTTCCCCATCCCAGTAAGGCAGACCTCCTCGGGGGCTCTGAAGTACCACTGCCATGTTTCCCACGAAGGATTGGAGGACTGATGCTTCTACTGCCTTCACTGGACCATGAGCTCTGGGAGGCTGGGACTCCATCCTGGGATCCCCAGGGCCTGACTTGGGATGGGCCCAGAGTTTCTGACTGTGCTGGATGAAGAAGACAGGCAACCTCTCTGAAGGGCTGTCATGTTCCTCCTGGCCTCAGGGGCCACATTAGGATTCAAGGGGAGACGTCATCAGGGATGGTTCAATGATTGGTCTCCAACAGAAGCTTCTAGTTTTCTTCTGTGTTACGAGATCTATTTTTACTTATCAAGGTCATTCTGCATATACAGGTTTGAATCCTGTTTTACCCTGACATGTATCATGTTTTCACATGGCTATAAATTCCTCACAATTGTCCTATTTCTTGGTTGTCCCACCAAGTGGAGAGGCCTTAACCAATCTAACCAATCCACTAGTTTTGAATATTTTATTTTTAATTAATTAAGTATTTTTTGAGTCAGGGTCTCACTCTGTGGCCTAGGCTGGAATGCAGGAGAACATTCATTTCTCCCTGAAGCCTTAACTCCCGGGCTCAGGCAATCCTCTTGCTTCAGCCTCCCTAGTATCTGGGACTACAGGTGCAAGCCACCACACCCAGCTAATTTTTTGATTTTGTTGTTGTTGTTGTTGTTGGTAGAGATTGGGTCTCGCTATGTTGCCAGGCTGGAATTGAACTTCTGGCCTCAAGTGATCCTCCTGCCTCAACCTCCATGCCTGGCCTAGTTTTTAATATTTTAGATCATTTCTAAGAAGATTTTTTTTTTCACCATTCTACTAACTGCAAAGAATATCTTTGGGAGCCACCTTTCTCCTCCATTTATGATTATTTCACCTAAATGTAAAACCCCTCAACGAAGCTCTTCTCAAGCTGCCCTTGGAGAGAGGATGCTCTTTGACCACAAGGTGTGCAAGTGGAGGCCAGCCAGAAGCCTTTCCTGACCCCTCGTCCCTACTTGAGGAGCCTCATACAGTGACCTCTGTAAACTCAGGACAGAGTCCTTGACAACTAACTCAAGAGACTGTCCAGCCTGTACAAGTGTTTGATTTGGCTCCACAGGGTTTGTTTTGTTTTGTTTCAATTCTCAATTCGCTGTTAACATTTTGAAATCAGGAGATTTCATATACAAAGCTGGAATTCTGGATTCTCCTAAGAAAAGAGGAGACTTGGAGCTGAGAAGCAGCTGTCCCATGAGAAAGAGTCCCTGTCCCCCGGGGGACTGGAGCCAACACAGTCCTACTGCTCTGATGCCACCTCCCAACCCTGCAGGCCTTGGTGACTACCCACGGGGTCCCCAAAGCACCTCTAGCTTCCCCCCAGGCCTCTTCACCCCAAGAGCTAGTCCCGGACTCCAGGAGGGTTGGAATTTCTGATCAACCAAGCCTCCAGGACAATGAGTAGGGGAGACACGATAAAGTCCTACCCTCCAGCCACAAGGTGACCTGGTCCTCTCCACTGTGCCCCATAGCTGAGGAGCAGAGGTCTGTGTTACCAGCCGCCCACTCCCATAGGGATGGTCACAGTGTTCCTGTGGAACTTTTTTTTTTTAGTTGGGGTCTCACTCTATCACCCAGGCTGGAGTGCAGTATCATGATCACAGCTACCGTAGCCTCAACCTCCTGGGCTCAGATGATCCTTCCACCTCAGCCTCCTGAGTAGCTGGGACTACAGGTGCATGCCACCATGCCCAGCTAAGTTTTTTGTAGAGACAGGGTCTCACTATGCTGCCCGGGCTGGTCTCGAACTCCTGGGCTTAAACAATCCTCCCGCTTCGGCCTCTCAAAGTGCTAGGATTACAGGCGTGAGCCACCACACCTAGCATAGATGGAACCTTATGAGACTGTCATGAATTCCTGTGCTATACCCCTTGCCAGGGCATTTTACAGATGGGAAAAACTGAGGTCCAAGGTCCCACAGTTAATGGTCTGAAGAGGCCACAGGCAGAGCCTGCAGATGGCAGACTCGGGCCCTGACCCATGATGCTGCCTACCCCTGGCACAGGGCTCCCAGGGTCCCCACTCACTCCTCCTCTCTCTCCAGGACGTCCCGGGGCACGGGAAGCAGGGACAGGAGGCAGGCCTGGCTCATGTGCTGGATCTCTGCTAGCCGCTGCTGGTGGTGAGACTCCGACATGTGGTCCTGGAACTCCTGCAGCAGGAGGGACGGGCATGGGGTGCGACAGTGGGCAAGCCTGGGGCCTGGGGCGGAGGCCTCCAAGCTTGGCTTCACCACCATGAGGCCACTTCTCTCACAATGGCCCTGCAGAGGCTAGAGCAGGTGTGGTAAACTGAGGCACGGAGTGTGCCCACACCAGCCTGAGCTTCTGCCTCCTAGACACGGAGGCACCTGTGAGCACCTCAAAGACACGGAGCAGGCGGGGCACGGTGGCTCACACCTGTGATTCCACACATTGGAAGGCTAAGGCAAAAGGATTTCCTGAGTCCAGGGGTTCGAGACCAGCCTGGGCAACTTGGTGAGACCTTGTCACTACAATAAATTTTAAAAAGTAGCCAGGTGTGGTGGTACACACCTGTAGTTCCAGCTACTTGGAAGGCTGCGATGGAAGGATCACTGGAGCCAAGCAGGGCAATGCTGGGTGGCCGTGAGCGTGCCACTGCACTCCAGTCTGGATGACAGAGACTCCAAATCAAAAAACAAACAATCCAACAAACAAAAAAAACACAAAAAAAGCAGACAAGAAGCAGCCTGGCTAGCTTCCAGCTCTCCCTGCTCTTCTCAGGCATGGCACAGAGTAACAGAGGTCATGGCCAGGCACAGTAGTAGCTCACGCCTGGAATTCCAGCACTTTGGGAGGCTGAGGACTCCTTGAGCTCATGAGTTTCAGACCAGCCTGGGCAATACAGTGAGACCCTGTCTCTACAAAAAATAAAAAAATTAGCCGGGCATGGTGGCACACACCTATAGTTCCAGCTACTTGGGAGACTGAGGCAGGAAGATTGCCTGAGCCCAGAAAGTCAAGGCTGTAGTGAGCTATGATTGTGCCACTGCACTCCAGCATGGATGACAGAATGAGACCCCAACTCAAAACAAAACAGAAATAACAGTAGTAACAGTAGTAATAATACAAGTATAATACTATTATTTTTACTGCTACACTCTCTTTGGGCCAGGCATCGGCTCATTATGCCAATGTCAAGTCACTGAATACCCAGAACAACCCAATGAGGTGAATTTTACATGTTTGTTTCTTTTCTTTTCCTTCCTTCCTTTTTCTGTCTCTCTTTTTTTTTTTTTTTTTTGAGTCAGGGTCTCACTCTGTTGCCCAGGCTGGAGTTCAGTGACACAGTCATGATTCACCACAGCCTCGACCTCCTGGGTTCAGGTGATCCTCTTGCCTCAGCTTTTTGAGTATCTGGGACCACAGGGATGTGCCACCATGCCCAGCTCATTTTTCTATTTTTTTGTAGAGATGAGGTCTTGCTATGTTGCCCAGGCTAGTCTTTAACTCCTGGCCTCAAGCAATCCTCCTGCCTCAGCCTCAGCCTTCCAAAGTGAGCAGGTAAGTGAGCCACCACACCTGGCCCTAAATGTTTCTTTGTTTGGTGCAAGGGGAAACTGATAGGAGTAGAATTCACTATCAAAGGCCCACACAGCTAATGGGGCTGATTTGAACCATATCTGCCTGACTCTAAAAACCTGCCTTTGTGGATGGCCAGGAAATGTTTTCTGAGCAGATGCACAGATTCCTGGGGCAGAGATCGAGGGCCCAATGCAGTCCCTGAGGCCGCCATGGAAAGGGCAGGCTGAGCACTCCACACAAACCCCCAGCCCTCCCTTGTCCACGTGCCCTCATCCGTCTGGCTCTACAGTACCTGCTGGCTGGTGCAGTTGGCCTTGCAGATATAGCAGAAGAACTGGAGGGCCTGTCTGGAGGGCGTGCTGGCCGCCGCAGGGGTAGCAGAAGTGGCGTCACCAGGGCGGGGCATGAGCGTGAGGGGTGCAGTGCTGAAGGCCCGGCTATCACTACTCTGCAGGATGGTGACCTTCAGGGAGCCCCCGGCACCCCATGCCTATACCAGGAGCCAGAACAGAGCTTCCACCAGCAGGGTGCTGATGGCAGGCCAGCCGCGGCACTAAGCACCTGCGAGCACTATCTCATCAAATCCTCCTGACAGGTGGGGAAACTGAGGCTCTAAGCCATTAGGGGACTACCAAACTCTCACAGCTGGAAAGGGCTACAGTCAGGATGCAAACCCAGGTCTGCCCAACTCTAGAGTCCACCCCTCACACGACAGATGGGAAAATTGAGACCCAAGGAAGGGAATGGGTTTACCCACAGTTATGCTGCAAGGCAGAGCTGGGACCCAGACCCCACAGAAAGGCTTCCATCCTGTGCCCTCTCCACTAGAGCAGCGTCATCCGGGTGGGGGGTCAGGGGCTCTAGTTTGGGGATGGGCAGGCTGGAGGGTACTCTTGTTACCAAAGTACCTCAGGTCTTGGGAGGCAACAAGAGAACACACGAGTCCACGCAGACTAACCCCCACCAGGCCCAGGCTGCTCTGCCCATGTGGCCCACAGAGAGCTGCTCCCCATTTCACAGGAGAGGGGAAAACAAGGGGTTCAGGGGCACCTGGGGTGGAAGGAGGCCACCCTCCCGCCAGGCCCTCACCCCATCACGTCAGAGCCTCTACTCACCCCTAGCATCTCTCGCGCTCGTTTCTCACACTCTCCCACGTCCAGGCCACTGGCTGGCTCCTCCTGCCTCTCCTCCACACCGACCTGGGTGCCTGCAGGCTCTGACGAGGCCTCCTCCATGCCTGAAATGACAGATGGGCTGTTTCCCGGAGTGCCTCCCCCACCCCAGCCCAGAGGGACCCGGGGCCTAAGAGCACTCTCTCTGCCTGCAGCCGGGACACTGCGGCCCCTGTGGACAGCCCCGGAGTTGGGTTCCAGACTACACCCTGAGTCCCTGGGGACAAATGAAGGGTCCAAGCAGGGTTGTCTCATCCCCAGAGGAGCTGGGGGCCGGAGCCCTCTCACCTCCTCTGGCTTCTGCAGTATCCGGCGGTGTCTCCAGCCCTGTGGCCTCAGCCAGAATCGACGCTGGCGGCTGGGTCTGAGGCCGCTTGTGGGTCTGCTCTGGTGGCTGTGCGGGCACCTGCGCTGAAGGCTGCTCCGGTGTCTGGCCCCTTGGCTGTGCCTGTGCGTGGCCCTGTGGATACGTCTGTGTCTGGGCCTGCTTCTGCGGCTGCGGCTGCACCTGCCTTGGGGGCTGGGAACGTGCCTGTGACTGCGCCTGCCTCAGGGACTCTGCTTCCTTCTGCAGCTGTGGTTGCACCTGCTTCTGCTGTGGCACTAAGTGCTCTGGAGAGGTCTGTGTTTGTGCCTGCTTCTGCAGCTTTGGCTGCACCTGGGTGTCCGTTGGTGGCAGCCGTGGCTGAGCCTGCGGCTGCACCTGGGCCTGGATCTGCAGAACCCGTGGCTGGAATCGGGGCAGCACTCGGGCCTCCAGGGGCTCAGGCAGCAGTTCTGGTGTCTGCGTCTGCTTGGGGACCGTCATCCGTGCCTGTGGCTGGACCTTTGCCTGTAGCTGCCCGGGAGGCCCCTTCTCTGTGGGCTCCACTGAACTGGGAGGATCAAAAGAAAACCGAAGTCAAAGTCACATCCTCCAAGAGGCCGCAGGGACTCCAAGGGAAGGCCAAGACCAGTTTCCAGTGCCAGCTCTACCACTGCCATTGGGTTTGGGCTAACTCCTTTGGCTCTCTGGGCTTCAGTTTCACCTGAATACACAGGGGAGGATTGTTTCTGCCTCCCACGACTTGCTGACATGTCTCCAATGAGCCCTGTAAGCCTGCCCACGCCCTCAGTCTCAGATGCACATCACCCCCTGCCCCCAACCTGGCTGCCCAGCCCCCAACTCAGTGCCTCAGTCTCAAGGCAGGGTGCAGAGAGAAGCAGGGCCTTCCTCCAAGTCAGCAGCCAAGGCCCCTTTCTTGCTCCAGCTCCTTGAAGGGGGCACGCCCTCTGCCACCCCCGCCCCCGCCTTTGCAGGAATGAGGGCTCGGGCCCCTGGGCCAGGGCAGGTTTTCAACATCAGTTACCTCTTCGACCTCTTGGCAGGGGGCTCGGATGCCTCACAGGGCTCAGGCTCAGGCGTGGGATTATGTCTCTCCTTGGTGATGTCCTCTGAGCAGAGGGGTGAATCTTGGTCTGGTGTGGGCAGGTGAGGGAGGAAGCTCAGACACTGAGTGGATGCATCTCAGCTCCAGAAAATGGCATTTGGGCTCACCCCCTTTCCCACCAAGGACCCCCTCCTCCAACTCCCACACCCACCGAGCCTCCACCCACCTGTCCCACCCCTGTCCCTCTGCAGGGCCAGTGGCCTCACCTGCTGGTGTGTCTGCTCGGGGCTCTGTTGCTTCCTCAGACCCCTCTGGGGGGTCTGACCCGTCTTCCACAGGCATCGTCTGAGAAGAAGAATCCTGCTTCCTTTCAGAAACCATTTTTGACATTTGCCATTCACCCTTGTAAATACCCCCATGCCCAAGAGCAGCTGCAGCAATCCCCAGGGGGTGCAGGAGCCCAGGAGACCTCGGGCAACTGGCCCAGAGCTGCAGAGCAGAGGACGGTTAAACACCCAGCAGTCATGGGCAGGGTCCAGCTGCCTGCCTGTTAAGTGAACCCAGGTTTGGGGGACACGAAGCCCCCTCCTGGCCCCTGGGGCTACTGCCTGACTTCCTACCTCCCTATCCATGAAGCAGTTAGAAGGATCCTCCGAAAATGCCAACCTGATCATGTCTCCTGTTTCTTTCAGGCTTAAAGCCCTCACATGGCTTCCTGTGGCCTTGGTGTACGCCTTACCCCAAACTTCAAAACCCATCCTGCCCTTGCCCCCCACAACTTGGCCTCTGTATCTCACCCCCCACTCCTCCCAGCCTCAGATGTCTTCACTCTCCTGGGCCTTCTCTGCTTGTTCACACTGGCCTTCTCTCTGGTCAAGCCCTAGACCTCTCCCTGCCTCTAAGCCTTCACCCACAGCCTCAAGGGACTTCTTGCAGGAAGCCCTCCTAACCCCGGATTAGGTCCAGACCCCGGTACAGGTCCCCAGACAGCCTTCAGCTTCCTTTCTGTGGCAGTTCCACAATCCTTTTTTTTTTTTTTTTTTAAGTCAGGATCTCACTATGTTGCCCAGGCTGGAATACAGTAGCACAATCACAATTCACCACAGCCTCAACCTCCTGGGCTCCGGTGATCCTTCCATCTGAAGCCTCCTGAGAAGCTGGGTCTATAGGTGTGTGCCACCATGCCTGACTAATTTTTAAATTTTTTGTGGAGACAAGGTCTTGCTATATTGCCCAGGCTGGCCTTGAACTCCTGGGCTTAAGCACTCCTCCTGCCTCGGCCTCCCAGAATACTGGGAGTACAGTTGTGAGTCACCATGCCTGGCCTCCACAGTCTTGATTGGTTGGAGCATTATTTACACTAATATTTTTTGCTACCACCCACACAAGACCTTAGGGAGGGCCAGGCCACAGGCATTATCTGCACCACTGAGTGCTCTGCAGGGCCTTCAGATGTCTGCTAAATGAACACACAGCTCTGGCCAGTTCCAGGGCACCCCAGGATGCCCCCAGGACCTACAGTCTCCCTCCCTCCTGGTTAGCCCAAGGAACCAGCAGGGAATGACAATCTGTATACCATATCAGGTCTCTGTGCCCTTCAGAGACTCCTCAGCTGTCACCCTACACGACACAGACACCAGCCTGCAGTCAGGAGGCCTGGGCTCTGCATCTGCCTTGACAGCTGTGCAGCCCAGGGCAACCCCAGTCTCTGAACCTGGGTTTTCTCATATGTAAAACGGGGGCAGGATGACTCAGAGACTAGACAAGACCAGGTTATCACAGGCTCAATAGGAAGGCTGAAATCTGGGCCCCTTTCTGGAGGGAAATGTCACGCTTCCAGATATGGAGCAGTCCAAAGCAGCCAGCATAGGGGGCGTTATCCCTGCCCCGGGATACCCTTAGGAGCGAGGAGCGAGGAGCTGTGGGGACCTCTGGGGACAGGACAGTCTGGGGAGGCAGTGATTCTCTCTGCAGACTTGCTGCTTATGTCAGGGAAAGGTTGAACACCTCCCTGACTCTCACACAGAGCTAGAGGGCTGCAGGCGGGAACACCCAGATGGCAACAGTGTGTAGCTTAGAACTTATAGCATTGTTCCACCCCAGTTACACTTCTTACACTTCTATGTATCCACACTACATCAATTAATTTAGACAATGTTAAAACATTCAGGTTGGGATAGGATGTTTCCTTTTAAGATAAATGTAATCAAAGGCCAGGTTCATGCCTGTAATCCCAGCATTTTGGGAGGCTGCAGCCAGAGGATTGCTCGAGCCCAGGAGTTCAAGACCAGCCTAGGCAACATAGGGAGACCTCGTCTCTACAGGAGTTAGCTCAGTTGAAGCTGTACCCTCCCACATGGTGGCCATAGCCACATGTGAGCACTTGAAACAGGCGAGTCTGAATCCAGAGCAAGTACCGAATGCATGCCAGACTGAGGATTTTGTATTCAAAAAATGGAATGTCAGGTTGGGTGTGGTGGCTCATACCCATAATCCCAGCACTTTGGGAGGCTGAGGTGAAAGGACTATCTGAGCCCATGGGTTCGAGAACAGCCTGGGTAACTTGGTGAGACCTCATCTCTACAACAAAAATAAAAAAATTAGATGGGCATGGTGGCACATGCCTGTAGTTTCAGCTACTTGGAAGGCTGAGATGGAAGGATCGCCTGAGCCCAGCAGGTAGAGGCTGCAGTGGCCGTGAGCATGCCACTGCAATCCACCCTGGGTGACAAAGTGAGACTCCAACTCAAAAAAAAAAGGAATGTCAAATATCTCATTCTTTTTTATATTGCTTACTGGTTGAAATAATAATTTTTCAGGTGTGCTCAGTGGCTGATGCCTGTAATCTCAGCACTTTGGACTGCTTGAGCCAGGAGTTTGAGACCAGCCTGGACAACATCCTGAGACCTAAAAAAAAAAAAAAAATTAGGCAGACAGCAGATGCTTACTGCTGTCCTGCCCATTGTGCCCTTCACGACATATTTCCTTTTATTTATTTATTTATGTGAGTTGGAGTCTCACTCTGTTGCCGAGGCTGGAGAGCAGTGGCACACTCACGGCCACCGCAGCCTTGGCCTGCTGGGCTCAGGTGATCCCTCCATCTCAGCCTTACAAGTAGTTGGAACTACAGGTGTGCGCCAACACACCCAGCTAATTTTCTTGATTTGTTGTGGAAATGAAGTCTCACCAAGTTGCCCAGGCTGGCCTCAAACCCTTGAGCTCAGGCAATACTCTTACCTTGGCCTCCCAAAGTGCTGGGATTACAGGCTTGAGCCACCATGCCCAGCCATATCTACCTTTCTTAATTAAAAAAATATATATATTAGCTGGCCATGGTGACACACCTGTAGTCCCAGCTACTCAGGAGGCTGAGGCAGAAGGACTGCTTGAGCCCAGGAAGTCAAGGCTATAGTGAGCCATGATCACACCTCTGCACTCCAGCCTGGGCAACAGAGACCCCAACTCATAATAACAGTAATAATAATGTTGTAATATACTGAGTTAAATAAAATATATTAGTTATATTAATTTCACCCATTTCTTTTTACTTTATTAATGTGGTTACCAGAAGATTTTAAATTACATACATGGCTCACATTTTATTTATACTGGGCTGCACTAATTTTTTTTTCACTCTGTCACCCAGGCTGGAGTGCAGTGTCTCAGTCATAGCTCACTGCAGCCTCAAGCCCCCGGGCTCTAGCAATCCTCCCATCTTAGCCTCCTGATTAGCTGGGACTACAGGTGCACACCACCATGCCCAGTTAATTCAAAAAAATTATTTTGAGAGATGGAGGTCTCACTATCTTATCCGAGATTGGTTTGAATTCAAGTGATCCTCCTGTCTCAGCCTCCTGAGTCCCTGGAGCCCAAGCCACGGCACCCATATAATATTAAGCTAAATATCAAGTAGATAATAGTAGTGGTAGTGTTTGGGCATGGCAAAAATTGTGTCAGGGATACAGGAGTGTTTGACATTTGAGCAGCGCTAGAGGGCCAACCCCCTCATTTTACAGGTGAGAAAACCAAGGCAGAGAGGGAGTGTGACCTGCTCAAAGGCCCAGGCTGACATGAGCCGGTGGAGAGGGGCTGATGTCCAGGCATCCCTCTCACTCCATCCCCACCTGCTCCTCCCCAGCCACCACTTACCTTGCGATTGGAGGCAGTAGAGGAGGAGGTCCAGGCCCGTTTCTGGGGGTTCCGCCCTGAGAGGTTGAGCTGGGAGGGGTTCATGGGGACCCCAACGGGAGGGGGGCCCAGCAGAGACTGGCGAGTGGCCTGGGGAAAGAACTGCTGCAAATTGGGAGTGGCCAGCTGGGGGGGCGTGAGGCTGGGGGCCGTCAAGCTTGGGGTTGCCATGCTGTAGCTTCGGAGGTTACCTGCAGGCAAGAAGAGAGGAGAAGAGAGGTCTCACCAAGGTCGGGGCTAGAGGCTAGGGTCAGGGGCCAGTCCCCCAAAGCATCATGGGAACATCACAGGTAAGTTCCAAAGGGACCTTATCCCGCCATGGCAGTCAGAGGGAAGAGGCTTAACCCCGCGTTGGGCACTGGTGGTGAAGGTGGGGGCAGGGGTGCCATCTTTCCCTCCCAGGTGCCTCCTGGTCAGTGGCTTCAGTCCCAGGAAACCCACTCATTCTCAGGCATGCCATAGGGTACATGGGTGACCCCACATAGGACCCATCAGGAGAACCAGCAAGGTGGCTGGTCCCTGGAATAGTAAGACACCCCCTACCTCTACCAACCCCCCCCAACCTGTTACCCCCCATCAAAGGCCTGCTATGACCAGGCACTGTGCTAAGCACATTCCATAGGCTGCGTCCATCACTCAGGCCCAGAAGAACTTCAGGGTGGGTATTATCTCCATGATGACAAAACAGAGACATGAAGTCGAGGGGGAGCTTGCCCAGAGTCTCTTGAGGGGCACTGCTGTCCCTAGCCTGGATTCTGGGGTCTTCCTCATCCCTTCCTCTCTTTGCCCCGCCTCCATCTAAGCCATCCCCAAATCCTACCAACTCTATCCCTTATAGCTCTTCCTCGTCTGGCTTCCTCTCTCCATCCCCCCTCCCCCCTCTCTAGAAGCCACCTTGTCCCTTTGCCTGGATTTCCAGCCACAGCTTTCACACAGGCTGGCAGCAAACAGTAATCTTTCTTTTTTTCTTTTCCTTTTTTTTTTTTTTGAGAAAGCAGAATTTATCGCAAGGACATAAAAGCTCCCACAGTGGGAGGGGACCCAAAGGGGTTGCCCAAACAGTGATCTTTCTAAAGCCATATTCTGACCTCACCTGTCCCTCTACCCAAACCCTTCCATAGCTCCCAGCCGCTTAGGATGAGGCCCATTCCTTTCTGTGTGAGTTTGGCCCTGCCCACCTCCCCAACTTCCTTTCTTGCTCCCCACTACATTCCAGTCTCAAGGCCTGCCTCAGGGCCTTTGCACATGCAGTTCCCGCTGCCTGGGCCATTCCGCCCCATAACTCCCAGCCATCCTTCAGACTTTCCTTTCGGTGTCCCTCTTCAAGGAGGCCTTCTCAGACTCCTCAGCTTCCCTGTCCTAGAACTAGCTGCATGATTTCCTTGTCTGCTTCCTGCTGCCTCTCATCTGACTCAGCTCTGCCCCTCAGGGGAGGCCCAGACTCAGGACGTGTGAGGCATGAGAGACAGTCGGGATTCTTGCCCTGATGCTGGGATAGGAAGCATGGGGGTTCAAGGCATGAGTCAGCTGTGCTGGGAGAGCTGGTTCAAATCCAGACTCTAGAGTACAAGCTCTGTGACCTTGAATGAATCAGTTCCCCCTTCTTGGCTTGAGTTCCCTCATCTGTAAAATGGGTATAACACTGCTCTCTTCACCATGTTTTTATGAGGATTCGATGAGATACACAGATATGTCTGATACATAGTAAATGTTCAATTAACGTTAACCTGAAACAAAGACATATACACATATGTGCAGAGAGACAGACAGCCAACCAGCTCTTAAAAACAGTAAGACAAAAGATGAAACGCCCTAAAAGAAAAATAGACGAAGGACATGATGGACAAGTCACAAAAAGAAATACAAATGTTTAACAGACAAATATAAAATGTTCAACTGCACTAGAACACCAAGAGAAGTAAATTAAAATGTTAATAATATAGCGTCTTTTGCCAACCAACTTAGCAAATTATATGTATATACACATTTATACATATATTTTTTTAAAAAGCATGTAATACCCAATGTGGCCGTGGGCATGGTGAGACCGGCACTGTCATACGGGGCTGGTGGCATTGCAAACTGGTCCAGTCCTTTAGGAAAGTAATACAGCAACACTTATCAAGAGCCGTAACACCCCCAACCCGCCAGTCAGAAAACAGCCTCAAACGTATTCATCCCAGTGTTACTTAAAACAGCAAATAATAATAACAAAAAACTCAAAGAAAGAAAGAAAGGAAACAGCTGAAAAGCTGAGAAGGTTTAAGTAAACAAGGGTACCCCCCTCCAGTGGAATATTAAACAGCCATTAAAAATAATCTTGACAGAGACTATCCAATCATAGGGTCAATGCCATTCTAGTCCGGGCAAAAGAAACAAGATACAGTCCCTCACTGACATCAATAATCACATACAAATCCCCAAGTGTGTGCCTAAAACGGGGATGAAATATACCAAAATATTGACTGGTGGTTTTCTTCAGGAGGTGAGTGAGCCTACAGATGATGGTTTGGGTTTTCCTAGTCCCTTTTTTGTATTTTTCTCTACTTTGAAGGGTGTGAAAGAAAAAGGAGAAACACGTATGTATATGTAACAGGTCCTTGTGTGTGGCTCGCTCTCTCTCCACCTAGCCACCTAGGACTTCTAAATCAGCTCCCAGGACCATCCGCACTGTGTTACTGTGTGACCTTGGGCACATGATCCCTCTCTGGGCCTCAGTTTCTTCCCCAATAAAATGGGATTGTGGATATATCTCCCCTTAGGGCTATCAGTAGAATTTGGAGCAACATCTTAGAAAGAAGAGCTGAGACTGCTTTCCACATGGAGAAACTGAGGCAAGGCTTAATGCACAGGGCTGGAGACAATCACCTAGAAATCCAGGTGGTCAGGGGGTCCAGGCATCCATCCAGCTCAGTCACTACTGACGCTGTGTGACCCAGGGCAAATGACTTCCTGCTTGGCTTCCTCATCTGACAGATGGTGTCTAATAAGAATGTGTGATGTGTGCTGAGTCTTGCCCAAAGGGCCAGTGCCATGGCCAAGGGCACACAGCTCTGTGATCAGACAGACCAGCATTCAGCTCGGCAGTTTAGGGACTCACCCCTTAGAGCCTCCCCATGTCCTCCTCTGTAACTAGTGTGCTGAGAGGAGCTCCCTCTCAGGGCTGCTGTGTGGATTTAGCGCATTGCTCTGCTAAGAAGCTACCACGGCTGGGCAAGGTACCTCAAGCATGTAATTCCAGCACTTCGGGAGGCGGAGGCAAGAGGCTTGCCTGAGCCCACGGGTTCGAGACCAGCCTGGGCAACTTGGCGAGACCTCATCTCTACAATAAAAAGTTCAAAAAATTAGCCAGGCATGGTAGCACTGGCCTGTAGTTCCAGCTACCTGGAAGGCTGAGGGGGAAGGATCGCCTGAGCCCAGCAGGTCGAGACTGCGGTGGCCAGAATGTGCCACTGCCCTCCAGCCTGGGCGACAGAGTGAGACTCGACTCAGACAAGAAGCTACCAGGAGACAGACAGAGAAGAGGCTGGGGCCGTACCTTGCAGCTGCTGCAAAAGCAAAGCTCTCTGGAGCATAGTGCCATTGAGGAGGGACGCAGAGTTGGGGCCCTGGAGATTCAGAAGCTGCTGCGGCGGCTGCTGCTGGGGGAGCCCCCTGTGTGTCGGGGGCGGGGGGGGGGGAGGGCAGAGGTAGAGGGTTACAGGGAAGTCAGACCCTCTCTCTTCCAGAGCCCTCTAGCCTTCATTCTCTGTCCCTCCTTCCCACGGTAGATAGAGGAGCCCTTGGGGGTGGAACCGCCGATCTCCGGCCTGAGCAGGGAGGCCCCCGGGAGAAAGGGCTGGGACGGGGGCTCCACGACACGGAGCCATGGCGCCGCGCGGAACTCACCGGCTGACGGCCACGGGCAGCGGGGCCTGCGGCGGGGACTGCTGGAGCAGCTGCTGGAGCTGCAGCAACTGCTGCTGCTGGAGCTGCTGGAGCTGTTGCTGCTGCTGGCCGAACATGGTGGCTGCGGGCGGGAAGGCGAGTGAGGCCGGGGTCCCCCCCGCAGGCCAGGCCAGCTCCTCCCCATCCATGGCTCGCGCCCGCCGCGGCCCCGCACCGGCCGCCCGCTCTTCACAGACCCCGAGACCCCGCCTTGTCTGCGCCCCCAGCCTTGCGGGCCCCCGCGAG